GGCTCAATAAAAGACATCTGGATTCATATGCTTCTTTATTCAGTTGCTGTATCAGAAAGTCATGTAGCCTCCGGAAATGTTCACATACACTCATAAGAGAATAAGAGTGAAAAGACAAATTTTTTTTGTTAGTATTGTTGTAAAAATAACTTTGACCTTATAGACTCCCTTGAAGTACCTTGGAGACCCCAGACCACACTGAGAACTGCTGCTTTAATCTAATCCACAGTTCCTATTCAGATATAGACTATTATCCAATAATGCCCCAGTAATGTTCTTTATAGGCATCCCTTGTCACTCTGCAACCCCAGCCCAGAATTTAGACCATGATCATGTATTGCTTTTTGGTGTCATGCTTCTTTAGTCATCTTTAGTCTAGAATAGTTCTCTAAACTTCTTTGTCTTTCTTGACTTTGATGATTTTTAAAGAGTGCAAGGCAGTTATTTTTTAGAATATCCTTCAGCTGGGTTTGTATGTTTTCTTAGGATTGGATTTAGATGATATATTTTTAGCAAGAATAACCCATAGATCACATTAGCATCTCCTCAGTATATCATATCAGGAGACACATTACGTCCGTTTATCTGATACTAGCTTCAATCACTTGGTTAAGGGGATGCCCACCAGATTTGTCTAATTTATAATTAACAAGTAATTTATAGGGAGACATTTCAAGATTATGAAAATATGCTGTTACTCATCAAACTCTCACCCTTTTATCATCTATTAATGAAACTTAAAGCTTTTCCCAAAATGGTTATACCATTTTGTACTTTGCCTGCAATGTATGAGATTTCTGGTTACTCCCTATCTTCTTGGCTCATTGATTTGCTTTGGCACCATGGCCAAAAATCAATTGATCATGTAAGTATATGTCTCTTCTTGGACTCTATTCTGTTCTATTATATTTTGGTCTCTTCTTAACCAGTATGACACTCCTTTGATTACTGTAGCTTTATAGTAGTAACTTTATAGTAATTCATGAAGTTAGGTAATATATAAATTTTAGAATCATCAATTTCTGAAACTGTTGGGATTATGATGGGAATATGGTAAATTATATATTAATTTGGAGCAAATTGGTGGGTTTTATTTTGTTTGATCTTTTTTTTTTTTTTTTTTTGAGACAGAGTTTTGCTCTTGTTGCCTAGGCTGGAGTGCAATGATGCGATCTCAGCTCACTGCAACATCCTTCTCCCAGGTTCAAGTGATTCTCCTACCTCAGCCTCCTGAGTAGCTGGGATTACAGGCACCTGCCCAGCTAATTTTTGTATTTTTAGTAGAGGTGGGGTTTCACCATGTTGGCCAGGCTGGTCTCGAAATCCTGACCTCAGGTGATCCACCCACATCAGCTTCTCAAAATGCTGAGATTATAGGCATGAGCACCTGCACCCAGCTGCAAATTGGTGTTTTAATGATACTGAATCTTTCTACTCCATGAATATGGTTTAGTCTCCATTTATTTTAGTCTTCATTATCTCTCAGCACGCTTAAAAGTTTTCTATTTAAGAGGTCTGTAATATTTTAGTTAACTTGATATCAGTGTGTTTTGCTTTTTGTGCTATTATAATGGAATTTAAAATTTTTTATTTTCCATTTGTTGGCTGGTAATATAGAGGAATACAATTGGTTTGTTAATATTGCCTTCATATCATGTCACTTTGTTAAGTCTGCTTATTTCTAATAGCTTCTTTTTTATTTCTTAGAGTATTTTAAAGAAGCAGTCATTTTTCTTCTTTCTGTTCTCTTTTCCATCTTTATTTTATTTTATTTTATTTTATTTTTTGTTTGTTTGAGACAGTCTTTCTTTGTTGCTCATGCTGGAGTGCAGTGACATGATCATGGCTTGCTGCAGTCTCGACCTTCTGGGCTCAAGCAATCCTTCCACCTCAGTCTCCGCAGTAGCTGGGACCACAGGCGCGTGCCTCCATGCCCAGCTAATTTTTAAATTATGTATAGAGATAGGGTCTCTGTATGTTGAATGTACAGAGGAGTCTTGAACTCCTGAACTCAACGAATCCTCCCGCCTTGGCCTCCCAAAGTGCTGGGATTACAGGCATTAGCCACCAGGCCCAACCTTTATTTTATTTTTTAATGCCTTCCTTATTGCACTGACTTGAACTTCCAGAGCAATGTTAAATATAAGTAGTGAGAAAAGACATCCCTGTCTTGTTTCATAGCTAAGCAGGAGAATATTCAGTGTGTCATTAAGAAAATTAAATTTTACATTTTCTTACATCTGTTATCAGATTGAAAGTCTTTCTATTCCTATTTTGCTATGAGTTTTGATCATGAATAGATAAATTTTACCAAATGCTCCTTTACATATTTATTGATATAATTGTGTTTTTTCTTCTTTATTAATTTAATGTGGCAGATTATCCTGATTGATTTTCAGATGTAAAATCAACTTTACATTCCTGAGATAAAAACACCTTTTTGTTGTAAAATATTCTTTTCATATACTGCTCCTGCTGTTTGGTAATATTTCGTTAAAGATTGGTTTTGTCTTTGTTCATAAGGGGTCCTAGCCACCTGTAAATGATTTCTCCACCTCTTCCCCATTTCTTCCTCCTCCTTTCCCTTCTCTTCCTTCTCCTTTGTAGTATTGTTATTTGGTTTCAGTGTTATGTTGGCCTCATAAAATAAGCTAGGAATGGAAGAGAATGTGGATAAACAGTAGAGTTTTTCTTTTTCCCCGTTTTCTGAAAAATTTTGTCTAAAACTGATACCGTTTTTTCCTTAAGTGCTTGATACAATTTACCAGTGTAGTTATGTGGGCAATAATGAATTCAGTTTTTCAGTATGTGTAATTACTTCAGATTTTCCTCTTTCATCTCATGTCATCTTGGTAAGTTAGGTTTTTTAAGGAATTATGTCTGTTTTATCTACGTTGTCAGATTTTACCTATGTTTTTGATAGTATTCTCTCTTTTTTCATTTCTAGGAAGTCTGTAGTGTTAATCTTGCTTTCGTTTCTGGTACTAGCAATTTGTATTTTCCCTCTTTTGTAAAAAATTAGTTTGCCAGTGGTTTATAATTCTATCAGTCTTTCAAAGAACCAACTTTGTTAATTTTCTCTATTTTTTTCATGTTTTCTAGTCTATTGATTTATCTTTATTTCTTTTTTCTTGGCATATAATTTGATCATCATTTTAATATTATTTGTGCTTATTTAGTTGAAGCAAGAAGTTCTATTATTCTCTTATTAAAATTTCAAGTTTTACACTCTATGCATTATGGCATAGATATATGTTACTTCATCTTTGTTTTTGAGATGATTAATAGAGGAAATCCTTTCTTAAATAAAATTTTCACCTTATTTGCTGAAGATATTCTTTGACAAAAATATTTTAAAATAAGTTTAAAAATAATAGTATGAATATTAAAGTGTACATTTACATCAACTTCATTGTCAAAATACTGTTCTTCCTGCCTAATATTCCTTCATTTCACTTAATTAATACTGCTAGATTACTCTTCTTAGAATATTGCCTTTTTATGTTGTATCTTGCTTTAGAAACCACCAGTAGTTCTTTATTGCCTGCAAGATCATAAACTGTCTCCTCTGTCAGTCATTCATCAGGCTTCCTATGTCCACTTTATACATCAATTCTGTTATTTTTGCAGCAAGAACTCTTCATCTCAGTCATAACTGCATACACTGTTTTAACAAGTATGTTTTTGCCTTTGTTTCTCTTCTAGAAAAAATAATCTGAAATTGTGAAAGAGCCCAGTTTTTGGCTGTGGTACACAAGGGCGTAGATTTGCTATCTTACTTCCTAGTTTTGTGACGGTGGACTCTGTGAAATGGTGATAATATTTCCATACGGGGTTGTTATAAGGATTAAACGGAACACACACATACACAGTAATAGTGTAAACAGAACTTCGGAGTTGTTTAACAAACATTAGTTTCCTTTCCTTTCCCCCTTTCAACTAATTAAACCCTGTGCAGTTGAAGTTCTTTTTTCCCCCATGAATCCTTTTGATTATACTACAATATGTTTTATGTTTTATTGGGTCCTGTGATACAAGTAATACCAGCTAACTAATTTATTGATAAATACTATTCTTAATATTATTCCCTATTTATTTACTGTAGCTGTGCTGTTTATTCAATCAGGAAAATTGATTTTACAATGCAAAGGATGGATAAAGAAGTCATAGACTTGGATTCTTATTAGTTTCTGTCACTAGCATATTAAAGGTATCATCCTGGTCTTATATTTTCTTGCTAGGGTTGTATTTTCTTATCTTTAAAAGGAGAAAACTAAACTAGAGATTCTATTTCTTTTTTATTATACTCTAAGTTCTAGGGTACATGTGCACAATGTGCAGGTTTGATAGGTGAGTATACATGTGCCATGTTGGTTTGCTGTACCCATCAACTCATCTTTTACATTAGGTATTTCTCCTAATGCTATCCCTACTCCTGCTGCCCATCCCCCGACAGTCCCCGGTGTGTAATGTTCCCCACCCTGTGTCCAAGTGATTAAACTAGAGATTTTATTGATGTTTCTTCTAATTTTGAAATTCACTGATTCTAAATATTCTTGGAGTACCTCTTTTGTGCTAGAGTCTGATGAGAAATACAAAAATGTTCATAAAGACCAAACATGTCTTAAAGTAGATTGTCATGTAATAGGGAATTGAACTCTGTGCACAAATGACTAAAACACAGTGCAGTATATGGTAGAAACCATATAGATGTTATCAACAGAGTGCCATAAGCTGCAGTGTAGTTCATTTCATCTTTCATGGTAGATTTTAAGCATTTCTAAGGTAAGATTTGTGTCTCCTACTGCTTACTGCTTTTGCTTTTCTTTAGAGAGTTAAGCCTAGTGTTGGACTCATATTGGTTGACTTGATGTGAGTCTCTGAGAAACCTTTTAATGAAAGGTAATAAAAAGGGCATTTAATTTGTCTTTTATTTGTTCTTTGATTGTTTTTTCTCTTTCATTTGTTTATTTGTTTATTCATTTTCTCTCTCTCTACAGAATGGTCCTAGTGCCAGATCGTGTCATAAAATGTGCATTGACATTCAACGGAGGCAAATCTACACATTGGGGCGTTATTTGGATTCCTCTGTGAGGAATAGCAAATCTCTGAAAAGTGACTTCTATCGTTACGACATTGATACAAACACATGGATGTTACTAAGTGAGGATACTGCTGCTGATGGAGGGCCGAAATTGGTGTTTGATCATCAGGTTTGATGCACAGTTAAATATATGATGGAATTAATCAGTGCTTAGTGATTCTTGCAATTAGAGTTTATGTTAGATGTTATGCTGAGTTGTCTAGTAGTGCTTCCATGACAAATACCTATGACAGATAATAATAATTGTTGTTTCAGTAGGTATAAAGTTATTCTTTAAATTTTTTTCTCTTGTTTGTTGCAGGGCAAAATACAAAAATCTCAGGACATAGATTGTTGATTTATAGAAACTTTAGAGAGCAGATGGAGTAATATTAGGAAAAACACATTTAGTTTTATAATGCATATGCATAAATCATAACAATAACAACTTACCCTTTTAATTATATTTCTTATTCTACATTCCTGTAAGAAATGGAAAATCACTTTATAATGAACTAGATGAAATCTAGAGCTTTTCTTCCAGTTAGAGTGAAATATATTTTGTTTTGTTTATAGTCACAAAATTTTATAAACCTGGAGAGGAATTTGACATACTAAATTAAACTCAGCACCAGTAGAAATTATACAATAATGTTGTTGACTAGAAGACTGAACATAGCCTCATTGTAAGCCATTTTAATATTAATATACATGTAGCTCTCATTAGCCCCATCATTGTCATTATCATTGTTACCTGTCTTTGAATACTTATTCCATACAAAGTCAATGTAGGTCAAAAAAGACAGTAACCATTTTGAATTCTATAAGCAAGTTTTTACCTGGCTCAACCCACATCCCAAGTTTTTTTTTTTTTTTTTTTTTTTGATGTATTGAGGAGAAAAAGACTTTAAAAATCTATAACTCTGTGTTGATGAACATAAATTATCTAGTATTCGGGAAATGGGAGGTGGTACTAGAATTATGACAAAACCTAGGTGAGACCTAAAATCTTATCTAGGAGTCAGAACCCAGGGTCTTTGTTTATTGTGTCTTTATAGATTTTTGTTAATTCTTTGCTTTTAAACTATCCTATTGCCATATTTCTATTAACATATAATTGTTATAGGAGAGTGGTAAGGAGAGGAAGAGTGAGTTATGCCTATCAAGTTAAGTGGTAGGTAGAAAATCAAAACCAGTATTCTTAGAAATACTCCCCAGCTTAAATTTGGAACTTCTGTTGGCTCTATTTAACTGAGCTCCACAAAGCTATGCACATCCCTGCTGACACCCTCAATGTTCTTCATGTGGAAAATAAGCATGCCAAGAAAAGTTAGGCTGGTTCTGATTTTTTAGAAATATCAGCAGATAATATTGTTAGGGAACAATTTCTTCTCTTGTTCCCAAATGGTTATGTATTTCTTTTACAAAAGATGCTGATGTCCTTTTTTTTTTTTTTTTTTTTAACAGATTGAAAAAAAGAATAGCTTAGGAGTAGCACGTAGAGAGTTCTTGGGTGTGGCCTTTGTTTCTCTTGATTTTATAAAATAGGATGTTTCTTGGAAGCTGGGTGCTATTAAATAATGCATGGTTTTCAACTGATTAGGTGGTACAGCAGAACACTGGGGGTGAAGAAATAAGGATTTCAGTACTCATTCAGCCAACAACTAGCCCTGTAATAGTGAGCAAGTAATCTGTATGCTCCTGCATTTTGCTATTCTATTTCATACAAATAAAGCTATAAGTTAGAACTTATACTTGTAGTGTTTATGACACTCCAAAAATAGCTTGTGGTGTTCATGACAATTTAGGATTTAACACTTAATGTTCAAATTTGATAAAAATATGAGAAAGCTATACGATACAAACATGCCTAAAAGCTGTTTGCCATTTTTAATTTTAACATATTTAAAAAATAAAATTTAAAGACTTCTGGATTTCTTGAGAACATAGTGGCAGTTTAGTTCTCAAGCTTTCCTTGATATTGCTTTGTGTGGTTTTCCAGGAATAATGGTAATCAAGCAAAAAGATTTAAACACACACACACTCTCTCTCTCAGCAAAATCAAGAGCCAGAGTAAACCTACAACTCCCAGTGCCTTGTAAGTTTATCCAAAAACAACTGAAATATTCAGAACTTTTGTTGAAGTCCACAACAGTATAATAGGGAGGCCTGGGAAAGCAGAGGGAGCCTAGCAGTTGTATATCATAGTGAGAAGTGTCAGGGACAGGGCACAGATTGCACCCAGGGCAGCCACTGGAAGAATCAGTGAATTAACATGTGTAAGGTACCCAGAAAGATCCAGAGGTGATATATGTCAGAAAGCACTGTTTTGTAAAAGTGAAGGAAACATAGTGGGAATGATGGCTCCTTTTGCAATGGCCAGTAAGAAATTTGGGGAGCTCAAAGCTTGAGATCAACCCTGTAAGCCAGATGAGATTCATAAAATTAGAGAAGATATGGCTTCACCAGAAGTGCCATATTTTGAAGGAATCATTCAATAGCAACAGAGGAAGGAGTTCTTGAGCAAGAATATACACCTTCCACAGAAATCCTCTGTAAAGTCATCTGGTCCAGGAAAATTCAACTCAATTATATATGAAAAACTAAAAAGCAATAAATAAAGCTTTAGAGAGACATTCTAAAGAAAAACAATAAAAAGAAAAATAACAGTAAATGAAAGTTATATCCCGGTATATTGCCCCTTTCAGAAATGAAGACTTATCTACAAAGAGTGTAAAGAAGGATAGGTAATGATCATACAGCATAGGAATAAGATAAAACAAAGAGGTAAAAATGATTAACCGGGGAAGGTAGACAGAGGAGAGCCAACATATATGTAATTGGAGACTTTAAAGAAGAAAACCAAAACCATGGAAAAAACAAATATTTATCAATTGAATTCAAGAACATTTTCCTGAAGAAAGATTTTACTCCACGTATCAAATGGGCATACTATATTCAGAAAAAGTTGACCCAAATACTTAACTCTAAGACATATATTAATAACATTGACTATAAAAGATAAGAGATCATTTTATAGCAAGTAGACAAAATGATCAAGTCACCTATAAGAGAACTAAAATGAGACCGGTATCAGATTTCTCTACATCTCCTTTCAGTGCCAGGAGATAATAGAGCAACATCTAGAAGACATTCAAGAAAAGACAGTGTGAGCCAAGAATTTTATATCTAGCCAAACTGTCCTTCAAGTGTAATCACTTTTTGTGGAAATTACTAGAAAATGGAAAGTGAGCTAGCCAAGAAGTAGCAGGAAAAACTTCAGTTGAAGAATTGAAGATCTCAGCTCATTGATATTCTCACTGGGTCATGAGGCATTTTTGGAGGTTTGTAGAAGGGAAAGTGGTAGGTTGGGTAACACTGGATACCTAGAAGGCTTTATAGCAGTATCTTCAAATTTTGTGAGGAGACGATTATTTTGAACCCAGCCAAACCCTTACCAATCTTGTATTCCTGTGATAGGGTAAAATAAAGTCATTTTCAGATTCAAAAAATAATTTTTCCCAGGAAAATAAGTGGTTATCCACTATTTGTTTGATTTTAAAAATTAAATGTCTAACCCCTGACATAATAAATGAATAGTCTTTAAACTTTTGACTTTAAAGAATTTTTTAAGTCTTTGATGGAAAAGACATTATCATACAGAGTTTAATAAGTTACTAGCTTTTCAGAAATTTTTTTGGAGAGTAAAAATGACAAATCAAAAGAGTGGAAATCAAGTATTAAAAGGTTTCTTGGTTTAGACTGGTGTCCTAGGAAGAACTACCAAGATAAGGATGTTTATACTTCAGCCCTGCAAACAAATGAGAGTAAGCCACGTCAAAATTAAGCTTGAATATCCTCAAAAAGAAAGAAACTCTCTTTGTAGCATACGAAGTAGAAAGGTAGGGGGTTGGTAACAAAGATTGGCCATTAGTATGAATCTGTGAGTTAATAAAAAATGGAAATAAACTCATTTAATGTGAGTCCCTAAAGATTTTCAGCATAGTTCCCAGATATTTGGAGTGATTGAGTCTGAAGTACTTCAGCAAGGGAAATGTGACCCAGCTCCAATGGAGCCCTCAACGGAGGCAGTAGTTGGATGGGGCCAAACTGAGTTGTCTTCAGCAATGTGCTGATTTTAACTATATGATCATTTAAAAAATAGGAATACTTTCTGTGGTAGGCCAGACATCTTTGTTTTTCAACCATATTTACCAAGATTTCACCCTTAGGGAATAGATTTTCATCTTAATTTATAGAAGTCTTTGAGAAACCTAGGAAATGGCTAATGAGGTAGATCTTTTTAGTGGTAGATAAAAATTAGGAGATGTTAGAATCTTTTCTTTTTAATAATAATAACCTCAATTTTTTAATACCTTTAAAATTATGAAAATAGCCAGGCATGGTAGCTCATGCCTGTAATCCCAGAACTTTGGGAGGCCGAGGCGGGCGGATCACCTGAGGTTGGGAGTTCAAGACCAGCCTGACCAAATGGAGTAACACTGTCTCTACTAAAAATACAGTATTATCCTGGCATGGTGGCATATGCGGGTAATCCCAGCTACCCAGGAGGCTGAGGCAGGAGAATTGCTTGAACCTGGGAGGCAGAGGTTGCGGTGAGCCGAGCTCATACTGTTGCACTCTAGCCTGGGCAACAAGAGTAAAACTCTGTCTCGGGGAGGAAAAATAAATAAATAAATAAATATATATATACACACACACACACACACACATACATATATATGAAAATAGCCTTTTATTTAAAAAAAATACAAAAATACATAAGTAGCAGACGTAATTTGGTAGGAGAATTGAATATCAAATGTTTAGTTTTTTTTTTTTTTTTTAGCAAAACATAGATGTTTTGTGTACACAATTTATTCTTTATATAAACGCCACTTACGTTTAACAGCTAATTCCCAACTTGGATTTATGTATTATTTGAAACAGAATTTGATTCTTATTGTCTCATGACAAATGGCTGTTTTCTCATACATTTTTATGAAAAGCTACAATCTTGAGTTGGAAGAATGGAAGAATAAAGCTTGACTTTTAAACATGAAGTGTATAGCTTAATTCAAAGAAAATTAATAGTGCTATGTTAAAAGCAGATAGAGTTCTTTACACTGTAGAAGTCAGTCTGGAGACTTGATTGTTGTAAATGTCTTTTTGTTTGTTCTACTGTTTTGTAACATAATTTGAAGGGTTTTATAAAAATAAATGCAGAGAGATGAATTTAGCTGTACCACTCTTATTTGCATATCTGATCGCTTAATAAATGGTAGTAATATTAATAGGATGCTTGCCTAGAATGAAAGGGAATTTTAATAAGGAGAGTATGATCACTATTCACCCGAAATATGATAAGTATTCACTCTTACGTATAAATCAACACCTCATGTATCATTGGTTGATTTTGGTAAAAATTATGCAGTTTCAAGAAAGCAGAAAGCTCTTTATCACAACATGTTTTACTCTCACTGGGAAAAATGGCAACTTGAAAAAGTATTTAGAAACTTGCATATGATAATCGGGTGGTATTTAGTGTCATTAGGGACAAAGTTTAGTTTTTTTTGAGAATGTAAAACTGTACATGTTGGTTTTGTTTTAACACATATGACAGGAACAAACTAAAACTATTCAATCTGTTGCCTTGTTCTGATAGATGTGTATGGACTCAGAAAAACATATGATCTACACTTTTGGTGGTAGAATTTTGACTTGTAATGGCAGCGTAGATGACAGCAGAGCCAGTGAACCACAATTCAGTGGCTTATTTGCTTTCAACTGTCAATGTCAAACCTGGAAACTTCTTCGAGAGGACTCCTGTAATGCTGGGCCTGAGGACATCCAGTCTCGAATAGGACACTGCATGCTATTCCACTCAGTAAGAATATTCCGTACATTGCGTAAATGTTATTTTATCATGTATACCTAGATAGGAAAAGAAGTGGTGAAATCTAATTCTCCAGGAAGTGATAAAAACTTTTCCTTAGGAATAAATGATTAGTGTAGCAATGACAGAGAAAGACAAAACTTCTTTAACAGTGAACTGTTGGCTAATTGTGAGACTCTTCCCATCAGCCTGGTAATTCCTAAGTAGTTATTACCTGACTACTAATCTAGGCAATCTTACGACTAATTTCACTGCTTAAATCGATTTTGTAGCTTTGTTCCTTTCTTAGGTCTTTCCACTTACTCATTTCTCTTAGTAATTAGAAGGACAATTTCTTTCTCTCTTTTTTTCCCTTCTGCTATTCTCCATTAAGTACAAAGAATTTAAGATTTGATTTTATAGAATTAGAATTTACATGTATCAGCAATGGTCAGGCACAGTGGATTACTTGAGGCCAGAAGTTTGAGACCAGCCTGGCCAACATGGCGAAACCTCATCTCTAGTAAAAATACAAAAATTAGCCTGGCATGGTGACCTGTGCCTGTAGTCCCAGCTACTTGGGAGGCTGAGGTGGGAGAATGGCTTGAACCCAGAAGGCAAAAGCTGCAACAGTGAGCCAAGATCATGCCATTGCACTCTAGCCTGGGTGACAGAGCAAGATTCTGTCTCAATAATAATAATAAATGTATCAGCAAAACCAACATACAGAGGTTTTTTTAACCTTTTCAGATGTTTTAATGAAATCTTGGTCTTCTTTCTGTGAACATAGCTTTAAAACAATATCATGGAATATTTTAAACATGTTCTTTAACATGTATTTTAAACATGTTTTTCTCTGTACAAAATGGAGAGGATAATATAATTAATAATACATTTTTGTGTGCTCATTTGTTAGTTTCAGCAGTCATGAATAATCTGCTCGTTTTTCATACAGCTATTCCACTTTAATTTCATTCATTTTCTTGATGTTTCTTTTTTAAGTTTATTCTTAAATTTTACTGTGCTGGAGTATTTTTAAAATTTTTATTATTCCTTTCTTGTTACAGCACCTGCTGTAGTGTTTTAAAGCAGATCCCAGATACTGTATCATCATACTTGTAAATACTACTGTAGTGTATAATTGTAACAGATAAGGGCTTTTTAAAAACATAATTACAGTTGGGTGTGTTGGTACACACCTGTGGTCCCAGCTACCCAGGAGGCTGAGGATTGCTGGAGCCCAGTTCTGGGCCACATTGCACTGTGCTTGATCAGTTGTTCATACTAAGTTTGGCATCAGTATGGTTACCTCCCAGACTGAAGGACCACCAGGTTGCTTAAGTAGAGGTTAATTGGCTAGGTCAGAAACAGAACAGGTCAAAACTCCCATGCTGATCAATAGTGCGATCGCTCCTGTGATAGCCACTGTGCTGCAGCCTGGGCAATATAGCAAGACTCTCTCTTAAAAAAAAAAAAAGAAAGAAAACATAATTGTAGTATCATTATCAACCAAAATAAAAGCAATTCTTTATTATCATTTAATATTCTATCTGTGTTCTTTTTTTCTAATATACTGAAAAATATCTTTACTTGGTTGGTTTGTTTAAGTCAAGATTCAAAAAAGGTATTTTGCATTTGGTTGTTATGTCTCATACATTTTTTAAAAAATTGTAATAGTACTCTTTCCTCCTATTCCCTATTCTCCCACACACACACAACCCACTAAGTGAGACATTTGTGCTCTAGAATCTCCCATATTTCCAGTTTTGATTTTGATTTTATCTTCGTAGTGTAATTTAATGTGTTCCTCTTTCATATTTCCTATAAACTGGTCATTGCACTCGGAGGCTTGATTTTAGATTCACTGTCTTTTTTGGGGGCCGGGGAGAATGTGCAAGAATACTTCATAGACACTCTGATTGCAAAATATAAAGAAGCATTTAATAACTGGTTGTCATGCTTTCGATGATGTTAATAGGTTGGGTGTTATTAGCCTGACTGATCAATTATAAAGTTTTCTTTCAAACTTGTGCCTAATGGTTTTTGTAGCCTTTCGTTGCCTAAATTTCGTTAGGATGTGTAAGATGGTGATTTTTCTAATGATGTCATTTCCTCTGCATTTATTAAGTGTGTGATTCTCCTATTATGGAGGGAGAAAAAAAAACTTCCTCTCATTAACCTTTTGGTTACCCTGAAATGTAAAGCATACTGAATAGGCAGTATAAATGTTTGATTGTTTTCCTTTATTGTTTTTCATATTAATGAGTTAACTTTGAGGCTCCAAAGCTAACCAATGATAAGTGTACAGAAATTTTATTATTAAGTATTTTACATGTTTGATGTATTTCTATCCAGTGCTGTCATTCTTCTTCTTTTATTTTGAGACAGAGTTTTGTTTTCGTTGCCCAGGCTGGAGTGCAATGGTGCAGTCTTGGCTCACTGCAACCTCTGCCTCCTAATTTCAAGTGATTCTTTTGCCTCAGCCTCCCAAGTAGCTGGGATTACAGGCATGCACCACCACGCCCAGCTAATTTTTTGTATTTAGTAGAGACAGAGTTTCACCATGTTGGCCAGGCTGGTCTCGAACTCCTGACCTCAGGTGATCCACCTGCCTCTGCCTCCTAAAGTGCTGGGATTACAGGCCTGAGCCACTGCACCCGGCCACTTTCTTGATGCTCAAATATTTCTCTTTGGCTAGTAGGAGCACCCCCACACCACCACCACCACATATTTATGTATCTTTTTTTGTAAGAGAAAAATTAAATCGTGAGTTCATACTGATTTGTCTAATTCAAATAAAATATTTTTTATCTTAATGTCTTCTATTTTGTAACTTATAGCTTTTCTTTTTTTTAGAGATAGGGTCTTGCCCTGCCACCCTGGCTGGAGTGCAGATCATAGCTCACTACAGCCTTGAGTGTCAGGGCTCAAATGATCCTCTCACCTTAGCCTCCCAAGCAGCTAAAACTATAGGTGTGTACCACCACACCTGGGTTTGTTGTAGTAGTAGTAGTAGTAGTAGTAGTAGTAGTAGTAGTAGTAGTAGTAGAAGTAGAAGAAGTAGGAGAAGTAGAAGTAGTAGAAGAAGTAGAAGAAGTAGAAGTAGAAGAAGTAGAAGAAGTAGAGACAGGGCCTGGCTATGTTACCCAGGCTGGTCTCAAGCAATTGTCCCACCTTGGCCTGCCCAAATGCTAGGACTACAGGTGTGAGCCACCATGCCTGGCCTATTTTTGTGTCTTTTAAGGTTAAAATACTGCTTCATAACATTACTTGCTTTGTCTGTCTATAATAGCTTTCACAGTAAAAAAGCTAACAACAGAATCACTGAGTGCTGTTTAATGTTGGTTTCTGGTTATTTTTCTGTTTAGGATTTAGACTTCTAGGGATGGGTAGTCAAAATGTATGTATTAAAATCACTAGAAATACTACTTCTCTGTGTGAGTATATCTTTGTATACAGATAGGTTTATTTGTTGTTGGATTTTTTTTGCCCAAATTTTAGATTTTTTTTTTTTTAGTTAATTTTGTCTTCTAATTAAATAAAAGCATATACATGGTTCTAAAGTCAAAACCATATGTCAGGGTATTTTTGGAGAGGTCTTCCTGCTCTGTTCCTGCCACTATAGGTAACTGTCTTTATTAGGTTTTGGTTTATCCTTCCTTTGTTTTTGAAAAAAAGAAAAAATCTCTACTCTCGCTCGCGTGCTGTCTCTCTCACTTTTCCCCTCTCTCGCTTTCTCTTTCCCTCTCTCCCTCTCTTTTTGTCTCATACACAGATGTTCCTCCTTCTCCATTCCTACACAAAGGAAGAAGGAACCTGAATATATCATTCTGCACCTTGCTTTTCTTCTTTAACAGGATGTCCTAGAGATCACCTTTTAGCAATATGTAGAGAGCTTCCTCTTTCCCTTTTATTCCCGCTCCATTGGGATCTATTGTAAAATTACTTTTGTAGAGGTTTAAGTTTTTAAAGGCTCATTCTGAGTTCTTCATGGAAGTGACAAGTTTCTCCTTTCTTCTTTTTTTTCTTCTTTTTCAGAAAAATCGTTGCTTATATGTATTTGGTGGCCAGCGATCAAAGACCTATTTGAATGATTTCTTTAGTTATGATGTGGACTCTGATCATGTAGACATAATATCAGATGGCACCAAGAAAGACTCTGGGATGGGTAAGGGCATTGAGTGATTTCTTCTCTCATGTCTTAATTACTTTAGGTAGAAAACTACAATTCATTCTCTTTTCTTTCTAATCATTTTTCACCCTTTCTTTATTTCCTTAATTGAGTAATTCTGAGTAAGAGAAAGAAAATTCTACCAGCTTATTCAGTTCTGTTTTTAAATATGTATAAAGTTTTTAAGCTATTGATTCTTGCAACCCGCCCCCCAACCCTCAACAAGCACACACACAAACAATTCATTTAGAAATTCACATACTTTCTGCTCGAAGGAAATCCTTCGATTGGGGGGCGGGTTGCAAGAATCAATAGCTTAAAAACTTTTTATTCTATGTTTTTATTCTATGTTTGCTAATTTTTTTCGTCTTCTGTTTTCACTGTAGTGATCTTTATATTAGGCACTAGCATAGTAGGGTGTGTGTCTTAAGCGGGGAACTTCATGGGATTGGTAACACCTTGTAAATTTAAAAACTCAGCATCCAAGAGGTTATTAGTAATGGAATGGCTGGTTTGCTTAGATTATGCATATTGCCCTGGCATAATTATTAATAGTGCTCCATTCATTTTCAAAAGTGTCCTGTTTTGATCATTTACAGCTACCCTGCATAGTAGTTGCTTTGCCTGTGATTATTGTACATAAAAGAGTGACTTTGATTAAGGTGCAACGGTTTAAAATGCTAATTTGAACAATAGGGTGAGAAATTTGATCAGCTTTTCTTTTTAACTGTTGCTTATAAATTGGTGTTTTTTATTAATGACTCATTTGCAAAATGTGGATAAAAGCACCTGTTTCACAGACATTGTTCATTGTCTTCTGTAGGCCCAATATTATTTTAGGCACTTGGGATTCATCTATGGACCTGGAGGATCCTTTCCCTCAGAGGACTCACATTCTAGTGGAGAGAGACCTGCAGTTGTGTTCTAAGTACTGTGAAGAAAATACACTGGATGCTTTGATAATGAGTAACAGGGGAGGTTTCATTTAGACAGAGTAGATTGGGAAACCACCTCTGAGGAGGTAATCTTTAAGATTTAAGATGAAAAGTAGAGAATTAGGAAGAACCATGTGAAGAACCGAGAGAAGAACAAGTACAGAGTTCCCAAAGCAGTAAGGAACCTGGGGTGTTCGGAAATAGTGGAACTGGTATGAATTGAGGATGGGGAAAGTTGGTATGAAACTAGGTTAGAGCTACAGAGATAAGAGTCGCAGTATTTAGTGCCTTGTTACAAATGCAAGGAGTTTGGATTTTTTTTTTCCGAATAAAATAGGAGATAATTCAAAGGTTTAATATCAGTGTCTTGATCTGATTTAAGTTTTGAAAATACCACTTCTTTGTCTAGGTGTACATTTTCCAAGTGGTTAATTTTGACAATATTCCTGTGAGTTACATTAGTTCAAAGGCTTGTTGACTGAGGATTTTTATGGCAGGGGTTGAGCATCTGGTTAGAATTACTTCGAAAAATTTCCCACCTAAAACTGTTGCAGTTATACTTGGAATTGAGGAACCTCAGTGGCTCTGTTAGCATATTAGAGTGAAATGGAAATTATTCTCTTTTTTTCTGTCCCCACCCCGCATCTCTGCCTCTCTCACTTTCTTTCTTTTCCCTCCTTTCCATTCGTTTTCCCATGTCCCTCTTACTTCTCCCCCAACTTTCTCTCTCCTCGAGGATTCTAATATGCAGCTGGGATTGCGAACCACTGTTCTGGCTCTCCAGAGTCTATTTCAGTCCTTAGTTAATCTTAGGCAAGTTACCTAATGTCTCAGCTTTTGCTTCCACATTTGTAAATGGCCCAAATTAGATTTTAAGGAAAATACTGTCTCCGTTCATGGCTACTCTAGGAGTAGAGATGGGTTAACCCTCAAGTTTTGGTTGGTGTTACTGTTGGGTGCCTTAATTTTCACAAAAAGATGTTAATGCTACCCTTCAGGTTCACTAATCTAGCCAGTTAACATCAAATCATGCCAATTTTGCCTCATCTCTCTATTCCCATTGCTGCTTCACTATGAACTAGTTTGGGCTAACATCACCTATTTGGCCTCTGTCTCTAGACTTCCTCTCCCTGTGTACCCTCCCTGCAACCCATTCTCCACACTGCAAGCAGAATACAGCTATTCTGTGTTACCAGTAAAGAATAGAACCATATGCCTTAACATTTATACAGCAGATATTTTTTGGTCACCTACTGTGTGCCAGACAATAAGCTACGCACTAGGAGTACAACTGTGAATGAGGGCCCTATCTTCATGGAGTTACGGTTGTACATGGAGAGGAAAAATAAAGTGACAACCTTACCTTTAGATTAGTGCTAATGAAGAAAAGAACATATTTTTAAAAATATAAAGCTGATGCGTGTTCTTCCTCACTTTAAATCTTGTTTCTCCCTGCCCTCAGGATTAAGTCTAAACTTAACGTAATTCACAGACTCTTTTATGATGTGCCCCAGTTCAGTTCTGCAGTCCTGTACTTCGTATCTGTACACTTCTTGCCACCAACTCTCTGTTTCACGACCACCGAATATTAAATCTTTATAGATAGTGTATTTTACTTGCCTTTGTTACTTGCCCATGCTATTCCTCCTACCTGAATCACTTTCCTCTCACCTCCAAAATCTAGCTAACTTGTACTGCTTACCTCTCAGATCTTAGCTTGTAGATCGTTGTCTCCCAAAATTCTCTAATGCCTTAAGCCCAGGTTAGAAATTTAAAAACATGTGGCTCTAGCCATCCTTGTTAACACAATTCTAGGTATTCATCTGGCTGTATAAAATCTTGACTGTGCTTTTCAAAACCTGTACAAACATCAGCTGAAATAGACAAGACTTTGTTCACGATTTCTTAAAGAGCATTCAGTGGTTTCAGTACTCTAGATCTCCTAAAAGTGTTTTACTGAACTAAGTTAGACTGTTCAAAAAACCTCACATCAGAACCATGGTTTATTATATTGCCCTCCCATAGAATTACTTTTACCTCACTTTTAAAAAGTACATTTTTTTCTCTCTTACTAGATTATTGTAAGCCGTGAAAAGTACTTTTAAGAAGGTGGAATACTATTTAAATTCCCACATTTTAAAATATTCTTAGAAAACACCAATTTTATCCATTATGTAGATGCTCTGTAGCTTATTAATCATTCTGTTGTTTGTTAACTGTTCTAAAGATTTTTTTACTCCAGTTAATTACTGTAATTTGAGATGGACTTAACATATAATTACTGTGTTTATCTGTGATTCAGTAATGTGGCTTATTTGATTAAAATTGTATTTACAATGTGAGTATCAAATGGGATTGTTTGAGCTCATAGAATAAATTTGTTTGAACTATTGAGATCACCGAGATGGTATAGCTAATAGTAAAATTACTGCTGTTTATGTAATTCTGTATTGTCAGATACTATAAAATCTTAAATTGTTGCTCTTTATAATTATCTAAATGTACCATCTTAGATTTAACATCTAAAGATCTGAAGCAACTTTAATTCCTATTTTTAAACTACAGTGTAACAATTTTATGCTCTCCGCAGAAGAAAATTATAATTTAAATCAATGGATTGGCAGCTGCTTTAAGGGATTTATTAGCATTGTGTCTAACACATACATAATTACATCAGAATTCAGCATATCTAAAATTTGAGTTTATTTCTGAGAAACTTTTGGCAATAAGACTGTGAACACAAGGGGTTTAGCAGATTCCCCATATGTAAGCTCTGTATTTAACACTAATTGAAACGTATGTGTAGAAGATGATCTGTCACACCACCAGAGTTTTGTAGTTTGCTATAGAAACTCAGTCTGCTATAGTAAGAGTGCTTTCTCCTGTTCATATTCATTCAAGTAAGAAACATATATTGAACCTTCTTCATTTGTCAAATGCTAAGTCAAGTATTGGTAATACTGAGCTCTTACAACCTGATCCTTGTTCTTTAGTAGTTATGTATTTAGCTGTTTTGATCTTTAAATTCTGTCCACTCTGTTTTCCCACATCTGCCATTTTTTATTCCATCCTGTTCTAACCGTCGTAGCAGATTGGTACAATTGAAAGAATAGCAAATTGAGAATCGGAAGACTTGGTCTCTCTTTGTCTGGGTCTGCCACTCAGCCCTCTGCAGTTCTAGAAAAATTACATAACTTCTCTGAACCTGATTATTCATCTGAAAATGAGGGGATTGGACCAGTTGATCATAAGACCATCTATCTCCAAAATTTTGAAAATTAAATTTCATTCCCTTCTGCTGTTATCAGGCTGTGAAACTAAGATATAAGGACTATGTGAGTTATGTCTACAGAACTTGATTTATCTATAAATAAATTTTTATGAAAACCTTAAAAGCAAAATCATACTGATTTTCATTTCGGCCCTAGGAATGTGCTTATTGTGCTTACTGACATTTTTAAAAATTAGTATAGTCATGACTCCTTATGTTTCTGATCCTTTTATACTTTTACCAATTAAATGAGTAAAGCCAAACCAGCAACACAGAGAAGATTTTGAAGCTAATGATTTGCTGTCATTAGCTGTCATAAGCAGGTATCTTACATTCTGGTTAAAATGTATTTGGTTCAGCCTTTTTTTTTTTTTTTTTTAACAGTACTTTATCATTATCTGTTAAAATACAAAAAATATGTTTTTTTGACTAAGCATTTTACAAAACCCAGGAACTTTTCCTACTCATATACTTTTATACATAGATTAGTTACTGAACTAGAAAATGGTAGCGCTTATTTTCAGCATAACTAGGCTTCACTGCTGTCAGTTTAGTATCTTTTGTATTTGGTGTATCTACTTTTTTAGTAGAGTATCTACTTTTTTCCCTGTCAAAATTGTTGGTAATAATAACTTTCCTTAATTTCCCCCTTCCACTCTCCCAGGGGTGTTTTTGCTAGTTACATTTTTACAAAAGTATTTTGTATTTTTAGATATGAAATTTAGGTTACTTGATAGTAAATGAGAATTATTAAGTTCACACATAAAAACCAACATGCAAGAACACTAACA